AGGAAGAAGAGGTGTGAAAAAACGTTTGTAATCGATTCGATCCATCGTTAATGGATTCACCATGCATATTCCTAGATTGTTAATGACGATTCTGCCGCATAATCTTTATTAATGGCATCAGATTTAGGTAAGTTGGTCGAAAACGATCATTCATTCGATCGTGTTAGAATCGATGATCGTTCTCGTTTCACTTTGACGCCTTTCCAACCTTCTCTCTCCGTTTTACAGTGCACCCATCCCATATTGTTCGAGCAGAACGATAACAATGTCGGTGTTTGACGATAAACAATCTTCCTCTGTGGTACTCGAACAACGAGTTCCTCAGGTACTCGGCTTGTAAAATCGCTTTAGGACCTTGACAGCTCAGAGTAGCAATTACTCGGTGGAGATGTGGGTTGAGCGAGCATTTAACAGCGAATTCACGACTAAAACAATTCCCCTAAAACAATTCTTCCCAATTCTACCCTTCCTAAGCCAACCGCATCGAATCGCTCTCGAAGAATCGAGGAAGACGAATTTTCTCTTTCCCCTTGAATTTATATATTTAAAAAAAAAAGAAAATTCAAAATTACTTACAAATATCCTTACTTCAATAGTTTTTTTTTTTTTTAGATTTCTCTGATATCATTCTGCAAAAATAAAAATTTCACTCGGAATGTTCGAGCGAACGAATCGAATATTACGAGAAGTTAATATCGTTTTTATCAATAGAAAGGTGAAATTTTCATAAATTCTCATCCATCTCATCGGAGCAAACAAATCAGATTTAATCAAAGGATATGGGATAGCGTAAAAAAGAAGGATCCTTTGGGAATTTCTTCTAATTTGATCGAATGATAACACGGTTGACCGTATTACACGGGTATACACGGTGGATAAAAACGCGGAAAATATTCAAATTTACGTGGAGTTCGTGAATATTTCTGTTTATGCGCCGTGACGCGAATACAGAGCGCGGATTTTTAAAATTCAATCCCGCGAGTGTGTCTCCGCCGCCTGGAAGGAACGAGCCATCCAACGCAAAGCAAACTCGCAAACACCGGCCATCCTAAATGTTCCCTCCCCCGCGTGCGCGCTGCTGCTGCTCGTCACTTTTTAAATTATTCCATTTTTCCTCCCGGCCATTGCCCGTCTCTTTCTTATTCATCGACGAAATATTCCCTCCCCTCCCCCGACATGCTCTTGGAATCTTTCCGCGAAATTTCACCGTCGCGACTCTCCGACAACGCCTAACAAACATTCTCGTCTAACGAGCCCACCCCGAATATATATATATATATACACCTGGAATTCCGAGACGAGAAGAGTTGGCTGTGGAAGAAGCGAGTGTCACCAGTTTCCCTTTAACGATCGTTGTTAAAATAAACCTCTCTCGTCCCATCTTCCCTCTCCATCGAGAACTTTCGTCCTCGTCGTTCCTTCCTCAATTGTAACGTAACAGTTTGCCTCTTTGTCGCGAGAATTAAATTTTGCTCGCCACGAGAAGAGCGTCGATCGCACCTTGATGTGAAGTAAAGGTTCGCGTGGAGAGAGAGTCAATCGATTCCGTCCGTCTTGCTTCGATCTCGAGCAATAACACATCGAATTATTACGGAGTTCTGGAGTTTACGTTTGTGAAATAGAAATTTGGACGTGATTGACGATACGAAGAATTCTTGCTTGGACATTGGAATGAATGTTAAAATACATTGATCATTTGGACGAGTTTGTCCGGGTAGAAATTATATCAGGAAGTTTTCTTTTTTTTTTTTTTCGTAATGAATTGGATTATTATGATTGTAGGTTAAAAGCACGTAATTATTTAATGCTTTGCACGTTATCTACAAGTGGGCGGAATAAATGAAGGAGTATTCCCGTGGTTTTGCGGTTTGGTATTAACCAGCAAAAAAAAAAAAAAGAGAGGAGAAACGAGAGGAGAGGAATAAATTATCGCCACGGCAATTTTCTACCAATTTCTGCGAAACACAGTGATACATCGTGGAAACGTTCGCCACGATCGAACGTTATTTCTTTATAACGTTCGGGGAGGAGGGAGGGGAAAAAAAAAAATGCCAGCGGATTGCAATGATATTCGCGGCGCGTATGTTTCGAGAGATCGAATCGATATTAAATTATCCGCTCGTTGAAACGTTTCGACAATTTATTTGTTGAACAATCCTTGTCAAAAGTGGAGGAAGTGTACCAAATTTCAAAAATTTTCGAAAATTTTTCGAAGCTTCGCCAAAATGGGGGAAGGAAGAAAATTATTCCAAAAGTGAGGGGGAGGATGAAAAAAAGAAATCTCGAATTTCGAAAATTTTTAAACGATGAATAATTGAAGAGAAGAGAAAAGAAAAAGAAGAATTCGACACAATTTGGCACAAATATTCCACATGGTCGATGGAGAAAGGGCGCAAGAAAACGTGTGCAGTACGCACCTATCTGCGTTTTATGGTTTATTAGTCGACGCGAGTTTGTCATAACTAACCTTTCCCTGGTAATCCGTACGGTTCTTTTTACGACCGTTCGTGATAGCGAGCGGCGCACTCTCGCCATTTCCCTTCCCTCCCTCCCCACTTTTTTTTCTTCTTTTTCACCCTTCTTTTCCCCCCTCTTTCCTTTCCTTTTGCTGGTCAGGTTATTTCACCAGAGGATCTTTCCGCTGCGGGAAACTTACAAACCAGCCCGATAACCGCGTTCTCCTATCGATATCGGCGGTTCGAGTAGCGTTACGGCCAATCAGATATCAAAGGTAAAAGGTGAAATCGTCTTCGGACTTGTGATCGATGTTCCAGCGTGAAAAATGCATCGGTTGGTGGAAAAACTTCAACAATTCAACGGACGATGTAGATACGTAACTATTCCTTTTTTTTTTTTTTTTTTGGGTTCACAAATGATAGCGCGATATTTTTACGACGATTTTTCACATTCTCTTTTTCTCTCTCTATTATTTATCCGTTCAGAGAGAAAATAACGGGGGAGGATCGAATTTCTTCGAAACGTCATCTTCTTCTTTTCGGAATCGTTCGAAAAATTATACAACCTACAATAATGACAATGTTACACGATTCATTCTGTATCTGGATCGATCGCGAACAATTGATACGGTTAAACCGACGCGCGTGACTTTATTCCATTTTCATACACAAACGACGACGACGCAACGAGCAGGGAGAACGTTTCCCCCTTACAAAGGAAGATTAATTTTCTTTCCTTTCCTTACGGTGGAATCGATGAGCAAGTTATTTTCAAATAACGTGGCCGCTGTTTCGATTTCAAACAGTTCAATAGGCGTTCACTAAGCGAAAAATATTCCTCGCGACATCAAAAGGATTGCTCCTTTGCCGTTGGTTCGATGGTTGCACGCAACCGGGCGGCGAAGGGGAGGGGAACCCCTCCGTCAGGAAATATCGAATATCACGACGTTTCCTCGATTCGAGAAACGCGGCGATAAAGCAACAACTAAATAAGATTTAAATAACGGAGGAAAAGATGAAAGAGATTTCTTGTGTTCACTCGGTGGAATCCGTTTATATTCGTCGAGGTATATCGTTTACATTTATTTATAAAAATATTCTTGCCGGCCAGGTGAACGCGAATTATTTTTCCATGAAATCTGTTCCAAACGTTTCGTTTTTTTTTGTTATCAAATTTTTATCAATCAAAAGTTATTCGATTTTTATTCGATGGTTAATATTTTGTAAGTTGTGATCGAAAAAATGAAACGTGAGAAATTTTTCTGTGAAAAAGTTAGATTTGTTCTAGGTTGTTGTTAGGTTTACTATAGGTTAGAAGTATTTAGGATGCTTATGTGTGCTCGTCTTAGCTTCTGGTGACGGTAAAGTGGCCATAGATTTCAGACTTCATCCACTCCCTGCAGATACACTTCGCCCAGAGGGATATAAAGAGATCGTAAATTATTGTATTAATCGATAACGCGTTCGTTGCCGGTGAGTAAAAGTTTTATTATATTTTTCGTGGACTTGTATTTCACGACCTCGTTATATCTTTGGAGTGACTACTCGTTTATTTCCTAGAACGACAATTTTTCGAAAAATCTCGAGTTTTATTACCTTCTTCGTGCCATCCTTTTTCATCGAAACAACATTTAAACACGTACAATACTTCGATTCTATCAAAAAAAAAAAAAGAAAAGAAACGCGATAGGATATTTCAATTAGGGATAAAAAAGAATTTAACGGTTTAAAATTCGAGAACGATATTCCCAGACGTGTCGTGTAAATTCATCGAGTCGGTATGGCCGAAAATATCGACTCCAAGCCGCGGTAACGTACTTTTCCTTCGTTCTGGCCGACATGAAAGCTTGTGTTGTGTCTATCGGGGGGGAAACGTGGTTTTCGATTATACGGTTATACGGTAACCGGCCTAGCCGAAACTCGTTTCAACGAAGAGAGGAGTGGTCAAATGTCGATCGAGCGTGGAAAACGCATTGGCGCACGATAAAAGCCGCGAAACATTCGAAAGTGCGATCCACTAAAATCGATAGGCGAGTGTCGATGCGCCCATTGCCACCCAGCTTTTATCGGTCAGGCGAGCGAGCGAGCCGCATCAACAGCCGATCGAAGGGATGTTTTTGGAAATTGTTGTCCAGCTGCGCGCACGATGTTTCGACGATGAGACGTGAAAACACTTACCTCCTCTCCTGTCTGCGCTTCACCGATGAGTCGCGTGATCTTGTTTCTTTTCTTTTTTTTTCCAAATTCTTAACGATTCGATTTTTTCCAGGAGAAAATTTGAAAGGAAATTGTCCTTTGAACGGAAGGAATTTTTTGTAATTGGATTGAAACGAAATTGAAGATAAACGGAAAGAAAAGTTGCACCCTTAAGAATAAAATAATTCTCAAGGAATATATTTTTTCTAGAATTTACTTAATATCGATGATATCTTAAGGATGCAAAATATGCTTTTTTAAGCGCATGAATAAATACAATGTGTTCTCAAGAATTTTTTCAAGGAAAATATTAAACGCATTTACTTCTGTTTGTTTATTTCTTTTCTTCTTTATTTTCTTTATTTATTTATTTATTTTTTTTTTTTTTCTAGTGAAACGAAAGCAGATTGAATATAAATGAGCATACACGGTCTTGTATCACGTGACATTTTTATTCGAACGTGTTTTTATCAGGTTAAGTACATAGTTCCAAGCTTATTGTGTTTGACCATCACGCACGGTTTCACGGCACGCCACGCCAGACGATATACGCGTCGCGATAAACGATATATCGCTTCCCGATGTTCGGGATGAAAAACTGCAGTGCACTTCTGACGGGCGCCACTCTCGACGAGAGACTCTCCACGGTCGCGATATTATATTCAGAGTGTTGAGAAGGCACGGAGCGGGGATCTTTGTCCGTCGGAGGACGATGCGTATTGTTTTTCCGGGGACACGAGCACGAGCATTAAATCGAATATCTTCCAGCTAGATTTCCCAAAGGGCCATCCTCTCTCTCTCTCTCTCTCTCTTCTATATATATCTATCTCTCGACGAATCGATAAATTTCGAACGTGTCTCCTCCAATTTGTCCCATCTGTCTGTAAACCGATAAACCATACCATCCCCAATTGTTGTCAAATTTTATAATGCCGCTGTATCGACTATGGAAAACGAGAGGAGGAACGGAGAGGAAGGGAGGATATTTCCGAGTCAAAATCGGGATCGGGGTCGGCTCGAACGATTTAAACATTAATTGGGAAATTCTTTAAAGGGGGGGAATTCTGAAAATTTGCCGGATCCGCGCACTGGTCGCTCCTCCCCTCGCCCCTCGTGCTACAGGGAGGCCAGGAGCGGGCGAAGGAACCCGAACTTTCGACTTTATGCTCGTTCACACCGCCCGCTCGTTCCGTGAAGGGGGTCAGAGCCCGTGTAACAGGTGGCACATTCCCTCTCGCTCTCGCTCCACGCTCGACGACGTGCGATTTCACGCGGCGCCGTCATTATTGACGCTCGACGAAGGGAAAGGGACTCCTAGAACGCCCCACCAAAACTCCCTCTCCGTTTCGCCATTCTCCAACCCAACCGCTCCTCTTAAAATCCTCTTCACAGAAATTCTCTCTTCCTTCCCCGTTCGCGTCCCATCGTGCGGCTCGGCCGCGATTCCTCTCGCAATAAAGCTGCTCCCGTGGCCGCGCTCACCGACCGGAATAGAAATTGCATTTTCCTCGGTGGAGGAAAAGCCTCGAGGAAAATTCACGGGGCCGAGGCGTCGTTAACCGATCGAAAATGCGAGCCTGATGTTCCATTGTAACACGGAATTTAGTCGGCCGAGAGAACGGTTTGTGTAACGGTAACTTTTCTCTCTTTATTTGATCCTTTACTAGGATTCCTTGATTCTCGAGAGTGGTTGAAAATATTCGGGTCGGGTGAATGAACGAGTGGTGCGGATTATTAGGGGTGAGTTACGTTCGAATCTCGAATGAAGATTTTGAACTTTTGATGTGTCGATCGGAACATGATGATGATCGCGACGTGATGCAATTGTGAAGGAAGGGTGTGGGGTATATTTAAAAGAGATAGATAAAAATTTTATAATTTTGATAGATCGAGCAAAAGTATCTTTTCCCTCTCTCGCGTGATAAAATATTGCATCGTGTGACACGCGATTAACTCTCGAGAGAAAAAAATTAAGGTGAATTAGAAAGAAGGGGAAATTTTCCATGGTGAAGAATGTATAATCCGGTTTACACGTCTTGATAATACATCTTGACAAAAGATTTTGCAAGGGCGTGAACGAGAGATGCGCGATTTAAAAGTGAAAAAGAAGAGGAGAGAAAGAAAAGGAAGGAGAAGGTATGGAAACGATGATGGTATGAAAGGATACACGGGTGGAAGATGATATGAAAGCGAGGGATGTGGAGATTCCGCTCGGACACCTTCGCCACCCCCGTAGTCAATTAGTATTCCGCGGCTTGCTGCGGTCTGCGGAGGACGAGAATCGGCGGTTCTTCTCAACCCGGGCGACGCCAGACGTTGAAAACAGCCTGGAAACATAATTCCACGGCGTCCGCTGTTTACCAGGAACGCCAGACGCTGAAATATTCATGAAACAAACTGCCGTCGGATCCCCGCTCCAACCTCTCCTCCTTCTCTCTCTCTCTCTTCTCTCTCTCTCTATCTCTCTCTCTTTCTCTCGATGGTCCCTATTGTCTACCCTGTGTTACACGCGCTCATTTTCCTCATCTTTCCTCGCTTCGACGGACAACTTGCACGCCACCTCGTCGAGGCGAAACAAACGCTCGCCTTAGGAAACGATGTCAGGGATCACGCTCGACGAGGATTCTCTTTCGTTCATCGATCACGCAGACATTTATCAATGGACCACGCTATGACGAACACAACGTTTTTTGATTCTCGTTTCTTTGTTTCGACCGTTTTTTCGGAGCTGATTTTTTATATATATATATATATTCGTTCGTTCGTATTTTTCTCAATCTTCGGAAAAATTTAATTTTTAGATCGTCGGGAAATAAATTGCTAATGACTCTTAAACGGCTTTATAATTGAAACTTTGATTTTTTAATGACTCTTTAATCGATGAAAAAGAAATACAATTTGTTGAAAGATAGTTTTATATGTATTAGAATATCAATATTGTTACACAAAATATAAATACAATGTTTTCGATAAATTTTTCACGGAGGGAGCATTTTTTTCTCGACAATAACAAACAGTTTTAAAAATATTTAATGGAAAATTAAATTTTTAAAGCAGAATATGGGATAGAACAGTCCGATCGGAAACTGGCGGTGAATAAATTGTACGGGTTTTATTTCGATTAGATAAGTCCATTTCGAATATTTTATCGAATAGTTTTAATTTCGAAAACAGCAATTAATTTCCGCGCAATCTAATTCTATTCGAGAAAAAAGCATATTTATACGATCCAATTATAATTATAAAGAAGAATATGTATTTCATTTTTCAAAATATTTTTTCTCGGGCATCGAGACGTCATTCGTATCATTCATCGAACTCCACGCTCACACGCTATAATCATTCTTGCGAGAAAACGTTTTTTTCTTCACGTGACTTAATTCCGTGTTTTTATTTTCGTTAGAAAAAATCGATGCTGTACTCGCTCGTGGCTCGCTATTCGTTGATCTACCTGACTCTGATTGGAAAGATTTTTCGTATGGGTCGTTTAAGGAAAGTACAGTATAGAAAGGAGCATTTTCATTTTCTTTTTCTTGTTTTTTTTCATTTTTTTTTCCTTTTTTTCTTCTTTTCATACCTCAATTCTCCAGTCACAACGCATTTATCTTTTCGGCAGTGTATTTACAAAATTACATGTATAATCGGATATCGCTGCAAATCAATTGTCCGCTTATTCCGTGTACGTATGTTTCTCTCTTTCTCATTCTCTGTGTCTACTCGTAGGTAAATGTATTTACGTGTAATGTGTATGTGTGTGACTCCTTGTGTGTATCCTTAAGCAATTAGATTTGATTCACGTGGTATTTTCGAATACCACGCGAACTCGTTATGTAGGAAACTTTCTAAACGTTACGATGTAAATGTATCTTATCTTTTTTTTTTCCTCCCCCTTTCTTTTCTCTCTTTTATTAATAAATCTAAAATCTACGTGGTAGGATCGTGCCCTTCGACCGGGCTATACATATCCGTCCTCTCTCGGTTTCTTTGGCAATATCCTTTCGCATCTCTAGCACCACATCTATCGACGCTATCAGTCTCGACCGAAATCGCGGTGGGATCTTTCGTTTCACAAAAATTGGCAGGAATTGGTTCTCGCTCCCCTCTCTCGAAACCTCGATTCGTCGCGCGTTATTTCCCAGCGATCCGCGGATATCTGAAAGAAGTGATAAATGGGGAAGCAATCTTTGCGAGAAAAAATCCTTCTTCCCTCGATTCGCATCTTTCATTCGAATCAATTGATTCCACCAAGTTCCCTGATTCTCGTTCTCACTTTTTCAATTTCGAAAAGTTTCAAAGCCAATTTGAATATTTGAATGGATAAAAATTTCACGGTGGAGAAAAAAAATGCTATTCTTAATTTTTTAAAAAAATAACCATTCCAACGTGAAGAATCCTCGCGGATTGAAAAAGGATTGAAAAAAGGATGAAAAGAAATTAAGACACGCTTCTTACTTTTTATTCTTTACGAAGAGGAGAGTAAACGACAAACTAACTCTCTCGGTTTCTTTGCTTCTCGAAAAAAAAAAGAAAAAAAAAAATAAATTTCTCGTATTTCCGTGACTTTTTCTCGTGGATGAAAACGGAGAAGAAAACGGACGCGTTGTCACGCGAACAGCATTCAATTCCACAGAGGAATTTTTTTTGTCTGTTGAAAACGAGAGGGCAAGAAACGTAGAATACTCCGAAACACGTGCACGATTACCGGCAAATCGTGCGATTCGCTCGATCAGCAGCCGGTCTGCGCGTAATTAGCGCGTGCACTCGCTCAACGATTAGGCGGTCTATCCGGCCCCCCGGTAATTAACGTTTGCATCGTTAGCGCGTTAGTCTCGTTTATCCTCCACCCCTTTGCTGTACGAAATAGAGGGACTGAAAGTGGTATCGGTGTGCGGTCTCTCCGTACCTTTCTCTCTGTCTCTCTCTCTCTCTCTCTCTCTCTCTCTCTCTCTCTCTCTTTATATATATATATTCCGCATATATGCATATGCACGGTTAGACGAACGGATGGGATGGTCCAGTTCACGAAAATTAAAAACAATAAACCGCAGAGACCGGTGTCACCCTCTCTTCCTCGTCCACAATATTTAATTATTCAATCCCATTCGAAAAAACCGCAAAAAACGGGAAGGGAAATTAAAACCGTGAAATTGAATCTCAAGGTAAGCGTGGATCTTGACACGTTTGCCATTACTATTTATAGAGAACTAGAGAGAAACAAATTTAATTGTATCAACTTGAAGCGTATAAATTGATTCTTCTTTTTCCTTTTTTTTTTTTTTATTAAACCAATTACCGTCATTATTATTGTTAATTTTCATGAAATTTTCGTTAACGTTTCTTCATTCCTTCTACGTATCGATCGAAATTTTCTAAACAAATTTTCCAGATTTTCGCAGAAATCGAAAATTGTGTGTACAGACTTGAAAATACAAGGAAAAAAAAAAAAAAAGAAAACGAAAAGAAAGAGCGTTGGATTTGATAATTTCGCACTACCACGCGATCAGGCGTGTTACCACTGTATCCCTCCTATATTTCTCCCCCATTATTTCATGCCAGTCAACCTCACTCCCCCGTGTATAAAAAACCTTCCACTCACGTTTTTCCAACGAACGCGAGATTTATTCCCCTTTCCAAGAAGACTCGAGGTCGATCGTTTTAACCTCCCCCCCTCCTCCACCGACTCTCTCCGCTTAATGATGCTCGGGGATCCTCCTCGCCTCCACCCCTCGGCCGAATTTTCATTCTTCGCCGCGCGCGTCGCTTCCATTAATCCTGCCCCCCCACCGCGAAGAAAGGCGGAGAGACAGAAACAGTTCCGGGCCACTCTCGACGTCGAAATTGCGCTAATTCGGATGATTTACGGACGCCTGGGGAGCCTGGCTTGTCGTGGCCAAATACACAGATACAAAATACACGTGGACCCGTTCCTAATTCGCGCACGGCACGCGAGCACGCGTTCATGAACCTTCTTTCCTCCACCACCTTTCTTGCTCCACCCTTCTTCTATCCCTTCTCCTTAATCCATCTTCCCCGCGGTAACAACACCGCCCCCCTCCCTCCTGACTTCCTCCAGTGGCGCGTGCAACTTGGAAAAAAGACAAATCTCGGCCACTCCACCTCCCCTCCCCTCCCCATCCGGCCAAATAGACCGCGCAAAACCGCACGGAACGGAAACCAGTTTTCTTCTTTCGCCCGAGAACCGGAGAAGAGAAGAGAGAAAGAAAGAAAGAAAGAAAGAAAATCTCTATCTATCTATCTCTCTCTCCCTCCGTTCGTGCTCTTCGACCCCTTTCAATTCGTTTGGTTAAAGCTTCCTGTTCTAAACTCTCTTCGTTTTTTTTTTTTTTTACGAATGGATTCCTTTCCCATATTATCGCGACGATAAATCGTCAAATTAAAAAATTGGAGGACGAAAACGCGCGACGATTCGAAGCCCTCCCCTTCCATCATCATACACGCGACGATCGAAACGCGAGGCTCGGATATTTGGCAATCCCTCTCCCCCCCCCCCCGGAACGGAAGAGGAGCGAGGTGAGGGAGGCGCTCGTGCGAAGATCCTCTCCCCGATTTCGGCGTCCGTTGTCTACGAGGACGCGGGTCGGACAGGCGAGATCTCGCGGCATAGAATCCCCGATTTTCTGATCGACACATTCCGCGGCGGTGAAGACGCTTGCACGGCATCCGAATAATCCTCGGCAGGATCGTTGCGCAGCCGGATGCCTCCGATCCGAGGGCGTAGACACGCGTTGGATGCGGTGCTCGAGCGAATAGCTTTTGCTGGCGGCGGTGCCACTGGCATCCGCGCTGCTGCTGCTGCCGTTCCTGTTGCCTCGCTCGTTGTTGGCCAGCGGGGAACAATGGGTCGCGACGGCTAGGTCGCCAGGTTCTGCAACACACAATGACGCAATGATGAACGATGCCTGCTGCTCTCCCGGCTCTCGTTAAAGCGGTTAAAACGCCTAGTGCGTGAAACAGTGTGATTTAAGCCTCGACTGATCCCTGTCTCTTTGTTTTCTCTCTCTCTCCTCTTTTTTTTGTCTGTTTTTTTGTTGTATTTAGGTTTTTCGTTCTTTTTTTCGGTTCGTTGTCTTTTTTAACGTATGCAGTCATGTATGTGCGTGAAATGCTCTCTTTCTCTCTTTCTTTTTTTTTTTTTCGTTCGTTTCTTTTTTTCCCTTCGGTACCGAATCAGCTTCACGGGCATTGTTCGAGAATTAAAAGAGACGAAATCGGCCTCTAATTTCGCGCGACAATGTCCGTTAACGAGGCGAAGGATTCTGATCATAGACGATTAATTTTTCGGATCTTTTCGATGGGGGAGGGATGAGTGGAAATTCGTTGACGACTTTAGTTGCGCTCTTCTCTTGAAATCAAAGAGAATCGTAAAAGACACTACCTTATTGTGGAGAGAGAGAGAGGAGAGAAAAAGATTCTATTACTGTATCGAAGTGAAAGAAAGAGAGAAATTTGAGAGGGAGACTACAAGAGTATGAAATCTTCGTAGATTCAGATAATTTATTTGACAAGTGGCAATTAAAACCGTGTAACAACAGTCTTCTTATATACTAACGTTTCCAGATCAAAACTTTTATCGCACATCATCATCGAGAAGGATTTCAACGCACGTCTGATCGAACGCGTACTCATTCCCCTTACGCTTTCGCATCATTTCAACCGTAGCACGTTTCGAAAGATTGCAACGTATGTCCGATCAAACACCCTACTCGTTCCCCTTCTAACCAACGATTTACGAGCAACCCCTTGCAAACCAACGTTCATTTTCACCACTCAACAACCGTCCTCCCCTCTCTAAAACACGGCACTCTTTAAAAACTTTTATCGTGCGCCCAAGTAAAAAAGATTGCAACGTACGTCTATCCCGAACAACACACATGCCACGTCCCCCTCTCACGCGCTATCCAACCCATGATTTACGAGCAATCCTACCGAACCCATACATTTTTACCCAAACTATCTCCCTTTATCCGAAACATCCAAAATGACACTGCTCGTCTTCCCTCCTCCCCCTCCGATTATCGAGCAGCCGAGGCGCGACAGGAATATCTCGCGGTGAAAATACCCCTCCTCCTGCCATCGAAAGGAAAAACGACGGCGGCGACGAGGAGGGAGAAGGGCGAGGAGCGCGAGGAATGGAGAGATATCGTCGACTAATTTTGAGAGCGGCGCCGGTGCGCGGATGAAAAACGGACATCCTATAAATCCTTCATGGTCGCGTGAGATGCGAAGGATCTCCGTTGCCGATCGCAATTTGCGCGATCCCCGATATTGCTGCCGGCTCGTTTCGCGTCGTGAGATATTAACCCAACCCCCTCTCGTCCTCCTACGCCATCTCCGCCGCCATCTCGATACCTGATGCAGGTGATGCAGCCTCGCCAACCTCTCCCAATCCCGCCCGGCTCGCGCATATATCGAGTGCGTGCGTCTCTGGTGTTCGCCGAATTAACCGTAGCGGACCGATCTGCGGTAGGTCAAAGTTCTATCATGGACTGTACGCAATCAGCTGCTAATTGGGAAATGATTGGACCCACCTCCGCCGATCGTATCGTGCCTCTAACTATTCCGAATACTCTCCCTCCCCTATAAATGACCCCATAAATGTCGACGAGACATCGAGATCGGAATAACGTAATTTCCCGCGTGATCACCGCGTTATTAGAATATTTTATGTCGCCTCTCTCTTTCCAGAAATGTCGTTTTATCACACGATGTATATGGTTCGGATATCGAAGAGGAATAATTAATTTTCTTTTCTTCGTTTTTGTAATCGCGTATACCACGATCGAAATGATTACATATAAATATTCACTCTGTTCGTGTATACTTTGACGTATGAATGAGAAGCACTTTTCGTCTCTTTTTCTCCTCCCTCCGCTCTGTTTAAGTTCCTCTACAAGATATTTTACATATTTTTAGCGAAGTTTCTACTAATTCATAGAAGGGTTTCACTCCTCCTATTTTTCACCGTGCTTTTCCCCTTACCCTCTCGTTGCTTTTTTCCTCGCGGCCGACACTCGCGAAAAGATCAGAGAGCGGGAATTAAAGAAATTCCTTTGAACATGGACGTCGAAAGGGCCGCGCTCCCGGAATACGTAATTGACATAAATATTTACCATACCGCGCCACTGTCACCGCGAGATATCCCCCGTGCGCCGGGGCTTGCTGATTTTTCCCCGTCGATAAATATTTTATGAGGCCGCTAATCAAACGACGAGGGGTGGTAGACACGACGACCCTCGGATTCTTGCCTAATAAAGAAGGGGTGGGATGGAATGGGAAAAAGAGCCTCGATATATGGGCTCTCCACGCAAGAAGCCACCTCCGACCGTTTAAGGGATCCCCCTCCTCCCTGGAAATTTCGTAGGAACGATCCTCCCCGACATATTCCACTCATGAATTCTTAACGAGCTCGCCAACGAGGAAGAGAAAGTATCGCGGCCGTGTCCTTCCGACCCACCCACCCCTTTATAAACGAATTCCCGAGGAACGAGGGTGGCGTGAAGGGAGGGAGAGAACGGAGGGTGAAAAAATACCAAGACGAGGGATACCAACCACTGTGTGTAGACACGATATTAACCTTCGTTACGCGTGTTTGAATTTCCCTGCAACGACTAGGCGGAAAGGGAATTTCTAAAGGGGAGCAGCGATAGCAGCTGATCAACCTCGTCTCCCTTTCCCCCCGTCGAAAAAGAAGAGGAGATGAGAGAGAAAGGGAGGGAGGGAGGGAGCAGCGTAAAACTAATTGCGGCGGACGGTGCGCGCCTTCTCCACCCGCCGCTCCACCCTTCATCGTCTTCATCGCAGCCTGTGAACCAACCGCCCTTAATAGCGTGCGGTTATTACAGAGGAACGACAGGCGGCGCGATTATACGCACCCTTTACCCGCTTCACCCTATCAAACCGCCCTCTTCGTTCCTAATTTTCACCTATTTTACCCTCGCCCCGCAAACTTCCTTCCTCCTCCTCCTCCTTCGTCGTTGGAATTCCGAGTTTTTGAAATAGTAGAAGGAGGGAGAGCGCGTGAATTTTCCACGTAGGAAAGGGATAGAAAGATTAGGCGGGAGAAAAAGGGAGTGATAGGATCGTTTAAAGGGAAGAGTGTTTGCGCCGCGGAGTGTCGACGATCGAGGTAAAATACATGGAGCCACTCCGAGTTATTGCGGTGATGAATTCGACGGTGGCTGCGTGCTCGCAATGAATCATCACCGCAATCATTTTAGCGATGGAGCGAGCAACTTCTTCCGTTCCGCTCGTGTTTCTCGTTTCTTCGAGAATAATTCCGAGATTATCCGTAAATCTTTCGGGACAGCGAGAGGATACGGTGATCATCTTTGAGACGCGATGCTTGGTGCACTGGAATCGATGGGAATTTTGCCAAATACTTTTTTTCGCGTTTTTTCGGCAGACGTGCTTCATTTCAATCTCTTCCTTCCACTTTTCTAATTTTATTTCGCGGACGGTTATTTTATTTTTGAAAAATCGAGGGGGAGGGGGGAGGGTGGGAATCAAAAGAAATTTGTGCATTTCTTTTTTTATATCTACTGATTATCTACTGTATACCGGATGTAATGGATATAACGCGTCGAAATAACAATTTTTATTCTTGCAGCTTGAATTATAAGTAGAAACTTTACGAGTAGATATTAAGTAAAAAGAAGTGGGCGCGAGGAATTCCAAGTTACAAACAAGGGTAGATCGAGAGCGAGTTTCTTCAACTTTTGAATTAAAATATATCTTCCTTATGATCTTCGTGATCGATGAAAAGCGTAGTTTCCTCGTATAGTTAAAATTTGTTAGAATTCGTTAGAGGAGGCTTAAACTTTAGCTGGCCGGTTAGTTAGTAATTGCACAGTTCCACCAGAAGACGCGCCACGGAACAAGTTTCTCTTTCTCTCTCCCCTCCCCCTCTTCGCTCTTTTCTCCTCCATCTTCTTTTCCACGATTTACGCCGAGGATCCACTTCCGCCAGAACATTCGCCAAATGGTCCCGACGATTATTCGCGAAATTAACTTCAATATTCCGACACGCGTTCCTGCCTTAATTATTTTTTACTATTTCAAGTCGACAAACAAACAACTTTCATCTTACCTCCTTTTATGTGTAATTAGAATTTATCATTCGAATTGAGCGAACGTTTGCACGATAGAGGAAATTTTGTTATTTCATTCGATGATTTGTGGATTTAATTTCCTTATTGCTCATGTTTTGTTCATTGGTAAGGAATTAAAAATCGATATCGATTTTGAGAAAATGCCATTGTACACAAATGTAATAAATTTTTTTAATAGAGAGAGATGTAATAATAGATGTTTGCGCGATAAATGCTTGACCTATGCTACTCGTCTTACCTTACTTATTTAATAAATGAAGATTTGAATTACTTACTAACGAATGATTGACTCGTACTACTTGTGTACAATTGGCTACTCTATTCCACACGTTAATTTCCCTACTCATTTACTCAAAATTATTCGCAATTATTTTCGTGTGTGTTATTTTTCCTAGATTCCTAGATTCTTCGGATAGAAATAACATTAATTTAGTGATCCCAGCATTCCTTCTTACGCTTCGTACACAAGATATTTCTTCCACATTTTTATAGTTAGTATAAAGTTTTTAGATAATTTCTCGATATAAATTCATGGAAACGATAAAAGAACAAATTTCCAAGCGGAATCCCCCCTATTCCCATCGAAACAAATGATCCTCCGTTGATCCCTAAGAAACGTTCTCTGAAACCCTCCCTGATCTTCCCTCAACGTTGCAACGTTGTGGACGAACGGCTGAGGTTTCATTTGGTCGAAACAGGTTCTCGCGACGCCACGTACGACGAGCAGAGGATATGAGATTGTGTAGTGCCAACTGTGCTCACCTCTAACAAGGTTTCAACCATAGATATTCCGCGGTGTCTGTCGCGACTGCGTGTTTCCAAGCTAGCGTTTCGACGAATCTTAACCGCCAGGTGTTATATATAGATCGAAGGGGTTGCTAACGGATATAATCGTGCAGATAACGCGTTTACCTGTTGGAGAGAGGGGAGGCGTTTAATTGGGCAAATTGATATCGCGTTGCGTCAGAAACGAACCCTCCTTCCCTTATGCGCGTTGCTCTTCTTTGGAATCCCTCTGATCTGAAGTATCTAGCAATTTTCGTCACGAGTGAATCAATTATTTGAAGAAAAAGAAGGGATTTCTCGTTGAGAATTATATTATTATTATTTGTTCCACGATATTCCTGAAATGAATTTTTTGAAACAAAAATGTAGGATTAAAATGGCGCGCATGTTGAAAGTAATTCGAGTTAAAATAAGTTTGTATTTCAATTTCACGGCGAGGCGGAAGGGAATGAAATTGCAATTTTATAGAGGTTTTATTTTTTGTATTATAGAGGTTCTAGTTACAGAGTTTCGACTGTATTTCTTTTCTTTTTTTTTTTTTTTTTTTTTTTTTTTTTATTCACCTTTGTTTGTTGTCACGCGCTTTTTTTTCGCGAAAACATTTTTCAATCATTTTTTTTTTTAATTTGTAAAAATAAATTGTTTTCAAAGCATTTCGATCGTTTCATACCGATTTAAAGTGAGTGAGCGATTGTGTAATCACGCGGTTTACACAATCTCCCTTACCCTTTTACAACTCGTGTAACTCGCACGAAATGACTCGCAAGAAATTATTAAGGCAGGTTCGTTAAAAAATACTGATCCTAGTTAGTTGATCGCTGTATTATACAGGTTGAGGGAATGAACAATTTTCTTGGGATTGTTTCAAGGTTGATTCGCATCCATCAACGTCCACGACGATTTTCCGTAACGTGGTTTCGAAACGAAAGCCGGTTGCGTGTCGGACAACAATTCTTTCGTTCCCGGACTGACTAACGATTGAACAATTACTGCCGCGGAAACATTGCTACGTATGCGGTACAATAATTAGAAATAAATTGTCGGTACTCGGTCCAATCTCGTTCGTGCTCCTTTTGTACGTGCTTAAAAAAGTATCCCGTCGTGGCAGGTACCGTTGTTTTCGATCCACGCGACAATTCTAGATGGTAAACAGATTGAACACGCCATTCCGACATGCGAATAAAAGTATTCAAATTCCACGGGTCTGAGTTTCGATAAAAGACGAGGTAAAAGAAAGACAGAGAAGAAAACAGTAGGATAGAATAATTATAGATAGTTACGAGTATAATGTATAATTTTTCTTACACATTAAATATGCGTTTCTAAATATGATTGTACTCGTCTTTTATTCAATGAATATTTGTATTTTTTTTTTTTTTTTGGTTAAAGATTATATTATTATATAAGTAATTACTGTCTCGTTCTACCTGCCTGACGAATAACTGACCTATACTACTCGTCTTATATTACACGTTTGACAAATGGGAGACCTATATTACTAACCCAACCGTGACAGCCTTATTCTACTTGGTAACAAATGACTAAGTTGCGCTATTTGTCCGAGAATCTCTATGAGAGTCTTAACCTATTCAACTGATAAATGCCTGATCTGCACTACTTGTCTTATTATTCTTAACAAATGATAGAATTATTAATCGTTTGTCTTATTCTATTTTGACAAACAACAAACTTATATATTTTTTTTTTGTTTCAGTGCTCGAACAAATAGCAGATCTATGATACAAGCCTAACAGGAATATTCTCTTTAGTACTAAGAAAGTTATAAAAAAGAAGGTTAATACCGTAAAAAAATTGCGATTGAAATAGGTAATTATAGAGGTAAGTATTTCGATTAAATATAATTAAATATATACTTAAGCAAAAATTTTTGTTCCTAAAAATAAAATTGTGTGCAATCTTCTATTACATTTCTAATACATTTCTAAAATTGCAAAATATGGACAAAAATTTTTGCTTTCATTAATTGTTTGAAAAATTCAGGTACCATTTCCTATCCAGTTATATTATCCTAATATAAATTCGAAAAATTGGATAAATAAAGCAAATACAGAAGATATTAGAGAGATGGAAGTAAGAGAGAAAAAAATAATAAAATCAGAAATTATTTTATATATGATATAAAAGATAATCTACAATCGGAGAATCATCCAAGAGAAAAAAATATATGAAAGAAGATAACCATTAGTGAATATATCAGCATAATATGTATAACATCGATATCTTCGACTATAGACAAGGTATATATATCTTATACGTTGATTAATAATTAAATTTTTTATATAATTTTTATATATATTATATATATTTAATCTTAATTATATTATTCTAACCTATATAATAATTTTTTAATTTATACGGTTTAATATTTTATTACAGAAGATGCCATACATCACAAAATACATACTTCCAAGTACATCACTACCAAGAACTGCCGAAATTCGTGGAAAAATTTCAAGAGGAGGCTCCTGTCAGTTTATATTCTCCTAATACAAAGTCGAAAAATTGGAAAAATTTTTCATTTGCTCAAGAGATACGATAATTTTCAAAACTGTAAATAAATATTAAAAATGTAAATAAATAAACCAAAAATGTAAATGTAAAATTAAAAATATAAATAAACGCATTATTTTTTGTAACAACCCAAAGTTTTTATTTATTTCCCTACTCCCAAAATTTGTAAAATTTTCGAGTTTCAAAGCTTTCAGGAATTTGACGTCATTTCCAAGAACAGCTAAAATTCTTGGAAAAATTTCTCGAACGACCTCCTATCAAC